CTTCAGAGGTTGTATAGTGACCGTTTAGCATGTAATGCTTCCGAACATATGGTTAACTCAAATAAACTTTAATCCTACTTAAAAGATTTCGGTTTTATAAACTCTTTGCACCTATATAGACATTCAATCATGTTTGCATTCGTGATGTTGCCGATTTTGGCTTTTGGTTACTAGGTCTAGAAGACAACTTATATGCCTTTGCAACTTGATTGTATTTGATAGAAAGGTTGTGAAGTTTTAAGAAAGTGAAAAAAACGAAAGCTGTTGTTTATCATCTAATCAGTGTTGATAGGCGGTTGAACTTTTTGATAGCCTTTCGTAGTTTAAGAGAACTTGATAATACAATGCTGGTTTGCACCTTGATTACAAGTACTACCTCAGAAGAAAAATTTGCAAGAATTGATTGGCGGGTTCCACCAATCTAATGGCCAGTAGTCTTCTGGTGAAAATAGCTCTATTGCGTGATAATTCTGGTTCTAGAGACAAGAGAGCGGGCCTTAAGAGGGTAGCTAGGCCCACGGGGATGCCATATCCAGGCTAGGACAGAGCATTCTCTAGGATTTGATGGTTGATGATAGTGCGGTTGCGTGCCCATAGGCTTTGCTAGTATAAGCTAGTCCGCATTCAAAAGTACCCTAGGCCTATTCTTGTACAGAATTAACAGGTACAAATGGGCCTAGTTTGAGATTACTAGGCTCCACCAACACCTCTTCAATTAAAAGCTTCAATTTTTAATCATGAATGTTATGTATATGTTGAACAGAACGAAATAGCAAGTGTGCCGGTATCCTGCACCCCGTGTTTATGATAGATACATTCAACTGTGCCCCGGAGACACAGTCAAAGCACGCCCGCCCAGCGTGCTTCTTCCAGGACATGCTCTGGTCCCTGGTGTTTTCTAGTGGTCTTCTAGCCTTAGAAGAAGTCGTGTCCGGGATGGACATCTGTAATTGATTTTTATCTAGTTAATGTTCACTAAACAAGCAAATATCCTTAAAAAAAAAAACTAATGTTAATTGCCTTTGATTCAATGTTAGTTATTAAGTTAAAACACAAAACGTCTGGGGTGAAAAAACAAAAAAGAGAATAAGCAAGAAAATGGTTTAATGATGGGGGTACTCGCATTCTTAGCATATCTTGTCGACACGATGTATAACAAACTCGACGTAACTGTCAAACTGACACCGTAGAATCGCTAAAAGATCGGGAGGAAAAGGACCTCCGATCCGCTCTTGTTATTATTATTAGTTTTTTAATCTCACGGTGTACGGTTTGAACTGACAGCAGAATCTACAAGGATACGTGTACGACAATAACAGATCATTGTCAGTAAGAAACTACAACACGACGGCACGTTAACGAATGAGGGAAGGAAAGGAATAGGAATTGTCCACGCGCGCCACAATGATAAGGAACGTTTCCTTTGAAGCACGAATTTGCATTGTGTAATGGCTCAACACTTGGACATGAGAGCGTAAAATCAACATTAAAATTATGATCATTATATTATTATATGAGAGCCAAAGAATGAGGAGGCAGGCAGGTAAATGGAATAAAAAATGGGGTTAACGTCGCTTTCCAATCTAATCTCATTCAGATCCTGTCGCAAGTCCAGGATGCGAAAACTACTGGATAGCTCCGTCTATAGCTATATCGGATTGGATTTTGATGACACGGCATAGCCTGGTCTTCGATGACTCGGCCTGACCCGGTCGCCCTACGCGACTGGCGCTTGCTCCAATCTGACCTAGCGGGCGAGCAATCTCAGTTTAGTTGTTGATTTTTGAAAAAATAAAATAAAAATATTTGATAGCTAGAAAAGGAAAATCAAGAGCCATGTACGTTTGAAAATATGTGAATCTCGTGAAATTTTAAGTGTCCATAATATTACAATAAATTACGGTCATATACATAGCGAGTCATACCCTTGGCAGCATATGTTTTCCTTCACGAGTAGATGATTTTTTTATTCGAATTTTGGTAGGGCAGGCGCGCGCATGATTGACTGGATGATTTCTTTTTGAATTTTAAAGGATTCTTGTCTCATAAGTACTGTGCATAGATTCCCAAAATTATTGTAAATTAGAGAAATTGTATCAGCTAAATTTCTGGAGACCATTACATGATTGTGTTTATGAGAAACATTGGGAAATATTTTAGCCTTGCAGGAGAACTCATCATTCAATACAACATCCATTTAAAATTAATCTCATAGAAAAACTGACATACTCGTTGTAAAATTAATATGATAGTTCATATAATATTTTCATTTTTTAAAGTCATTTGAATCACAACAAATTCAGTGCGATTGCCAATATCTTTAAATGGATTTTGTATCAATAATGGACGGTATGCCTAGTATATATATGAAAAAAAATAAAAATCCAAACAAAGTCTCTGACTCTCTGTCTAATATCACAAATGATTCACTTCTACTAGCTAGCACTATAAACAAACGTGTCATATTTTTCGAGATTTCCAGTAGCCAACTATAAGAGATCGGTCTTTAATTTGTACAAGCTAATGACAAACTATTTTGAGAATGTATTTAATAAGAATGGTGCTTCATGATATCAATAGTGTAAAAAAAGTTACCATAATTTTATAAGAATAGTATTTATTTTTTAGGGATACAAAGGAGAAAATAAAATTTGATACTTTATTTAATTGGGTATTATTTTATTTAATTTTTTCACTTTTTAAATTTATCTCTAAAAACCTTCTATTTTTAGAATTAATATATGTCAAAATGGTGTCGATAAGCATTTTCGATTTAAATAAATATTGTTGTATTATGCTATATTATGATTGACTTACTGTATTGTAGTAAAAACAGTTAGGGATTTGAAACTATAATAATACCAAACATACACTGATTCAGATAAACAACTTTTATCGCGCAATAATCTATCATCATGCAACATTATTATACTCTCTCTCTCTCTTTGTGGTTGATTAAGAAATCTTTCGGCCTCGAACCCTCCAAAGCAAACTAGCTACAGGTGAGGCCGCTAACATCCTTATACTCTCCATATATATGTTGCATGCAAGCCTATACATATAGGTGAATTTATTAATCTCATGCTTGGCAACTATATATATTCTACCTTGAACTTAATTTGGTGGTACCATCTTCACCATTCAATATAAGGCACTAATCCATCCATCCCCTGTTAAAATCTATTGGATCAAACGTATTTGTTCATAGTTAGTAAATAACATATATAAGAGATCTTAATCTCTAGCACTGCGTACTAATGCTAGTTCTTGGATATTAAATGATTATTATGTCTATAATATGATGCCGAATATTACGAAGTTATATGGTACTTCTGACTTAATCAATCACGCGTTGATTGAAGCAACCAGTAATATATAGTGAATTCAGCTTAATATTTCAAGTTTGTCACAATGACAAAGTTAATTTACTTTGCTATTTCGAGTTTGTTATAATGATAATTATAGATCGCATGCATGTGTAAAGGAACCAGAAGTTTTAAAATATTTTCAAAATAATTAATAGTAATAATTTTATAAAAAAGCAAATATAAACAGAAAAAAGAATTTTTTTAAAAAAATTAATTAAATCCATACCAGCAGGTTCAGCTTGACGTTTATCTACCCAGTCAGTCAATTTTTTTTAGTGAAATAAGATTTAAATCTTGATAACTTCAGTTTCTTTAATAATTATATAATAAAAAAACCATCCATATTATGCAGCCTAATAAGTTTTTTAAGCGTTCAACGAATAAAAAAAATTCCTATAAAAATATTTGTATTGTTTTTGATGGATCAACAACGCAACAGGTTAGAGATTAAAGAGGCAAAAGCGGTGATGAAAAGCCCTATCTGGACGGAAAGTTTTAGAAAAGTGAAAAGAAGGAAAGTAATAACGCACTGTCGGCTGACTCTGAACCAAGTCGAATCCATGCTAATGATGACGTGCCAATGAAATAAAGGAATGGCCCAGTTTTGGAGTTCCTATCTATTTCTTAATTTGAAGGCCACTATTCATCATTCCTGTGTACAATTGACGGTCGTGTACGTACCATGAAGACCTTGACACAGACCTACGATCAGAATCTACTGAATAATAATTAAGAAGTTCAAAAAAAAAAAAAAAAAAGAGAGATTGGGTTAGAACTTAGAAATGAAGAAATTTAGGACATTTCTAGGTTTGTGTTGTTGATAACATAAAACTATTTTAGTCATCTGTAAAATATAGAAGAATGAATTTAGTATGTAGAGTTGATTTGAATTACCGTTGACGAAGTACAATAAAAAATAGTAATAAAAAAGTTTTAAAAAAATTTGTTTTGATGAAACAAAGCAATGAAATGTTTTGCAAAATAAACAAATGGGTTACAAGAAAGATTGAGAGTTGCGAAGTTAGACAAAGAAGATTTAAGAGTTGTAAGGTTAGACACATAATTAAAAAGTAAATTAATCACATATTAGAATTAGATAATGATAAGTGGGTAATGGTCTCAAGTAATTATTCTCTTGTGTCTGTGAAAATATACATTTTTTAATTGCTATAAATATGTAATGATTTATTTGTAATGATACGAGATCAATCAACTACTAAACAATAAAAATACTTTTTAATTATTTTATTTTTTTAATTAGTAAAATTAATCATTGGTTTTAATTAATTTTCTAACGTGAATTTCATTATTTTTCTTTTTAATCCGTGATCGAAACGAACTAAATACAAATGTTTGGTCAGTTATCATTTTCACCGCCGGTAAATCGAATGCTACCAAGCAAAGAGCGCGAAAAACAAGGACCACGTGCTTGCTGTCCAGTAGATATATATAAACAGTTTTAACACGAAAAGGTGTATGCACAAATCATCAAAATGTGGGCTTGACATAAATACCATCTTCTCGCATAAACGAAAGCGACATATACCTGATGCACCAGCACCTGTACATTAATGTCAGATACTGCATGCCAGTGGGTTGGATTGGATGAGGGGCCTGAGAGAATTGAAGGGCTCACTCCGGGCTAAAAAAATCAAGTTCGTCGTCCTGCTCACGGAAAAGATCTCTGCACCATATATAGACAACTGCCTGAACATACTAGGAAAGCTAATTTAGTTCATAGATCAGTTTAACAACAATTAAAGAGTGGCTGCTTCAACAGTTGGGAATAAATAGGACATCCGGTTAGATGTACTCACTGCACGCTAACTAAAAGAACAGGAAGAAAATGAAACAAATATTGATCCTTTCTCCACTTCTTCTTCTTCTTCAAATATGAAGAAAGAATTAAAGCAGAAGAGTAGAATGATACCAATGTTCCCTAGGTCTTGTGGTTTGGTGTTAAGTTCTAGACACAAGCAAGCAAGTTTGAATCATTGGTATCAGCGGCAACAGAAAGTAGAATAAGTTGGTTTGAAGCAGTTGTTTGCTAATGTCAATATTACCCTTGCAAGTTTTTCATCTCAAAGTTAAATACGACTATTTTAAGAGTAAATTTTAAACTAGTACCTCTTGTTTTCAAAAATGAATTAATTAGTTCCTTTTAGTTTAAAAACTAATTATTTATTTTTTTACATTTTAATTTCGTCAATACCTTAATTTTTTTAATTTTCTATTAAATCAGTTATATATTTTTTTCAAATTGCCTTTTTTATGATTCTTTATTTTTATCCTTCACCCACTTCATTTTGCTCAACTCAACCAAAAATCAAAGGATAATTTAGAAAAAAAATACTAATCTAAAAAAATAATGAAATATTAAGTTATTGAAGAAATTAAAAAGTAAGAGATTAAATGATTAGTTTTAAAAAAGAAAGAAACTTATTAATTCACTTTTATAAACAAGAGGGGCTAATTTATAATTTACTTGACCATTTAACGTTCAACAATAAAGGAACCTTTTTTGTTATTTTATAGGAACAACAAATAAACTTTGAATTTAAGCCTTTAAGTCAATTCGTGTACCTAGCACAATTGTTCAAATTGGTGGAATTATGCTAGGAGGTGTTGGGGGAATAAAAGAACTTAACCATAGAATGCGTGGAATGACGAAATTAGAAATTTTAAATACAGATGCTATGGAGTATTAAGCATAGAGGACTTTTTTGTTGGACAAAAAAAAAAAAAAAATCCCTAAACCTCTCAAAAGAAAATTTGATTTTCAAAAGTCGAAAAAGTGTAAATTTTATTTTGAAAAAAAAAAGAAGAAAAACTTGAAAGCCCGATAAAAAACCAAAAAAATACAAAAATACAAAAATTGAAACTAAAATATAAAATAAAAAAATAAAAAATATATCCACGACACATTATAATAGAAATATGTGTTGCCAATAAAATAAGTTTGCAAAACACGAATTTTTAAAATTTTCCATTAGTTGTCTTTATATTTTTTAGTATTTTTTTGAGTTATTAAAATCTTTTTGGGAGGTTCAAGTTTTTATATTTCTAGATTTTTTTTAAAAAAATTTCTCTATGTTCTTGATTTTTCAAATTTTGTTAAGTTTTTTTGAATATTTTTTTTATTGTTTATAGTTAGAAATATTTTTTTAATACTTTAAAGAATATTTTTATCCAAAAAGTGACAAACGTACAAATAAGATAAAATACGAACATCTAAGAATAAAGAATACGTGGAAGTAAAATATTTTTTAAAAAATATATCAGAAAATAAGCACAGTATATAAAAGTAGATGGATGTATTCACCAAAGAAAACAAGAAAGTTTTTTTTATTAAATATTATAAAAAAACATTTATATTAAATCCTTTCATTAATTAGGAAATTTTGGTGGTCATAATCACTTTCTTCAGATTGCTTCTAACCACACGTCGTTGCCTCTTCACGTTGCTTCTAAACACATTCTCCCGAAATAGCTTTATGAGGACATCACAAAGATATGGTATTCACCATATACCAACTATGAAATTTTGCTTTCTTGGGACTATGACTTTGTTCTTATGAGGTGAAAATTATTGAAAAAAAAAACATGTCTGTTGCTCTTCCAGCCAAAAAATAAAAAAATAAAAAAATTTAAAAAACAACTGTAAAATTACTAAACACACTTCCAGTAAAATCTTAACAATGGGGGAGGCTAATTAAGTTTGGAGCCAATCAAAAGCTACATGACGTTGGTAATGACGCATTGCCACAAGGAAACAAGTACACGGTACACATCACCAGCATGACATAGTCCCTACCACCGCAGCATATCGTTTAGAAGCTATGCCCAGCTAGTTCTAAGATATTTCAGTGCTAGTTAATCAGAGAACGACTCTTATTAATGATGCTAAAAATCTGCTTCAGAGGACAGAGAAAAATACGCTGTGGAATAATCTATCTTATTCTTATGCTTGCCTTATTGATGTTATTCCCACTCAACAATTTTTCTTTCGCAAGCACGGGCGGCCATACATTGAAGAGATGGGAGGCAATTGCCCCACTTAAATTTTTCAAAATATCTATTTAGTCCTCAATAGCTTTAGTAGTTTAAATTTGGCCTCCTTTTTTTAGACATTTGCCCCCATATTTCAAGGAGAATCTCTTTGCGGCACTTATGTTTAAACTCTAGCTCTTCCCTGATGACAAGTGTGACCTTCTTTAATTATATAGTACAAATTATGCAATCTCAGATACTAAAGTCTCTCAACTTTACTAACAACCAAACGTCCACTATCAATTTATAGTTTAGACATGCAAGAAAAATTGGGGCGTGGAACTTGAGTCTAAGCCGGACGGATGCTTTGTGCATAGTCAGAATTCATTCTCCATAATTTTCTTTTAATTATAAAAAATCATGATGCAAAAATTCTAGTAAAGGGTTGTATTGTGGTTGATTTTTCTTTTGATAAAATAAATATATAAATAGTTTGATGTAATCTATTCTTATTTTTGCTTTTTAATTATTTCTTAAGTATCATACTAATATATATTAATAATTGAGGATCCATTTTTACATTTAATAGCATAATTTTTTTTAAAGAAACATAAAGAATAAAATTATAATTTTCATCTCAACAAAATATGGAAATGGGAATAACGATTTGTAAAGTGGCAATAAAACCACCCTTATTTTAAATGGGTTTCGTTTAGCGCACTTTGTAAATAAAATCTTATAATATGTTATAGCGATCATGTATGAAAATATAATTGGTCAGACTGCAGGAAACAGTATACAATAAATGACTTGTGGAAACAGAATATTCGAGAAATACTAAGAGATAATTAAACACAAAATGTCTAAATAAATATATTGGATCTAGACATGTAATTACATTACCAAATCTCACCATGAAAAATAATCAAATTGGTAGCGTACGTGATGGTGTCCATGCCAGCTTGAGCATGTAAACTACTTCATAGATAAGCTGGAGGGTGAGAGTTGATTCACAAGAATAATACTACTTCCCTAAACCATCCTAGACCATCAAGTATGCTTTAAGGAGTATTTTTGTTGGCCATTGTTAGTGGATGCTAAAGAAAAGGAAGCTTGATTAATCCGGGGGATCACCTTTGAAAGCTTTTATAATATGTGCAAATGGATATGCAATTTGTTGCACTGATTTTAAGCTGGGATCATATTGCTAGTAAAAGAACTATTTCCCCTGATGTTCGATTTTCTAATGAAAGTTGATTTCAGAACTATGCTATTGATGTACACGTACTCCCTCTCACACACGCCAAGATTGGAAAAGGTAATTGATATTCATGCAAGTTTTGTAATTTGATGTGTGTTACGTTCATCAATTCAAGGCAAGTAATGTGTACCGTTCTCAATCTGGTCATCGCATTCCAGGAGGCACCATGTCACCAAGCAGTCCTTCATCTGTTGGAAGTCGGGGAGTTGGCGTTGACACTGTACTGCACTCTCTTGCATCTACTGGTAATGGTTGCGACTGTACCACAGTACTTTGAGGATTTTCTCGGGGTAACTGCATTCTTGCGTAATAAAATTGTGACATTGGAGGAGTCATGTGACTAGCAAATGCAGCTTCGTGATTGACTAATCCTCCTCGAGGAAAACCAACAGTATGATGACAGTGCTGGCCTTCGTATGTGGTAATCACAATGGTGGGATCTTCAGAAGATCTTTCAACCCTTTTCTTCACAGTGCATTTGCTATTTGTACACCGATAGTAGCTCCTGGAGTATATTTGTTGGCGAGATGGAGCAAATTTAGTAAGAGATTAAGCTTTTATTTTGGTATTGATCTTCCAGAGAGCATCTATTATGCATCAGAAATATATATAAGAACTTTTAAATCATAAAGATAACTGCACTTTTTTTAAAAAAGAATTTGACCTTATAGGTAGTATTATATATATGAATTTTAGTTAATAGTTTGAAGCAGAAAGGGTTGAATGTCAGTGAAAAGAAAAGGCAAAGTAGAAACACATGAATCAGATAAAATTCTTCTACCTTTAAGCACAACAAAAAGAGCAGAGTTGCTATATACTCTTAAGACAGTTAGCTAATAAGAGAGGTATAGTTACAGACCTAGGAAATGGACTATTTTTAACTGCCTTCTGTCCATATTTCCGCCATCGGTATCCATCTTCAAGATGATCAACTTCACTTTTAGTCATAAATGCAAAGCGTGGCTGCCGGATTCGTTTTTGCCCCTTCCTTTTGACCTTTCCCCTACAAAAATCTCCTACAATTGTCAAAATAAACACAAAATCTTGAAAATTAAACAATAAATGAAGTAAATGCATCATCGACACTTCAAAAAAAAATAATAATAATTTGATTTCAACAGATTATTCAGACACTTCAAAATATCTTTCACGTATAATATATTTCTCTCTAGACATTGCCAACCGACTAGCTGATTAATCACATTAAGATCAATTCAGTCTAGCTACTTTTAGTTTCTTGTAGGATTTGTCATATATGGAGAACTATTATCTTTCAAATATTAGAAGGGAAGTCCTAAGAGGAAATAACTTGTAAGTTGCCTCATCGACAATATTTGTCTATAACACATCGTGATCAGAGGCAATGTGAAATTAATGGTTGATGGTCGGCTCCAAATTTTAAGTAAGAAGTGGAAATGAAAAACGAAACAAAACCAAACTCTAAGAAGAGCTCAAATTAAAACTAGTTAATAAAGGCTTAAAAAAAACGTATTCACTGACCTACTTTAGCACTACTCAGAAAATCAACTTGAAAACAAAAAACTCGAACCCATTAACATCTATCTATATCTATATGCATAAATGATAATTTATGTTAGACATAAGATTCTAAATGAGTATGTTTAAATATATGTATATTTTTTATTCATAATTTGAAAAATATGCAACAATATTATATATAATCTGAAATTTTCAATACATGAATGATTAGCCAATGCTAGTTAGAGAATGATAGACGAGATAGATGTGCAAGATAATTATATGGTTTAGGATCCAGAAGATAATACGATTATTATAAATTAAAAAGAAAAGTCAAGAAATTTTAAAATCAGTATAGAAAATCTAATTGTCATGAACGAACTCCAAAATATTATATTCACAAAAGAATGAAAAATGTTAAGATAGAACTTGAAAATAACAATTCATGAATTTTTTGAAAGACAAGTATTGCATTTGAAATGATTATAATGCACACCTCCACTATCCTAAGGGGATGAATATAGAACATAAAACAAGCAGAGTAGCAGCATGCAACATCGATTTTTTTATTTTAAATAATAATAATCAAAAGAGAATATCTCTCTACCTTATTTGAAACAAAAAGCAATTAATGCCCAAGTAAATAAACAAAAGCAATCTTTTCCCTATATTCGCTATCTCTTTGATAGTGTTTTACGTTAACAAGAAAGATAATCCCTATATATGAGTGCTAAAAAAATTATTCTTCAATGCATGTGCAGTGTTAAAAGTTAGAGAGCACGCCATTCCCGCCGCAATAACGGCGGTGTTCATGGCTTCTCTCAATTATGCTACTCGTTTAAACTTTGTTCCGGTTAATTACCTCATCTAGCCCCACAGTTCTCTCAAATTACGAAACAACCTCACCCGCACCACAACTTGCATGAACCAAATCCCCTCCCCTTTTTTTATTTTGACAGTTTATAGATCGTACGGACGCGCAAATTGCACTCTCTCTCTTGAAAGCGGAAAAAAAAAAAAAAGCTTTGCAACTAGGAGGGCGATTCGATTCTGTTACTGATTTTCTCCCTCGTTATTTTAAGTGCAAAATCTGTCTATCTATCATTTCTTCCCTTCAAATTCGAGTTATTTAATCTATTAACCAAATTGTTTCATGGATACTTGAATATCCAAACGAAGTTAACTCACGGTATCTCAGGCGGTTTCCCGCCGGAGCCCGTAGACTTCTCGGGCGGATCCTCGCTGGAGCTTGATGATACTGACGGATAATTCGAAGATGAAAAGTCACCGCCACCGCCAACACTAGACCTGGCCGGACCTGCTCCTGATGATCGCTGAATCTCTAGGTTTCCCGCCAAATCGGACCTCTCTTCTGCTTCTACCCGATCGATATCCGTAAACCGGGATGGTTCATCGGGCTGAAGATTCCAGCCGAATTCACTGAGTATGGAGTTCTCTCTGTCGCTAGAGAAGAAGTAATTGACGCTATCTGAGCCAGGAACGAGTGACCAGCTAGAGTCGCTGGCGAACTCATCAGTCCCTGGATCAGGATTATCTTTATCGTCCATCAGATAATTTGCTGAGATCTATCGATAAAAATTGATTTTTTTTAAAGAGAACTGAGAGAGTGAGTTCAAGTGATAAAAAAGAGAGAGAAAACAAAGAGTGGAAAAGCTGAAAAGATAGGAGTAAAAAGAGGAAACCGAAGAGAAAGCGTCTGTGGTTTTTAGAGAGAGAAAGTTAGGGTTTTTGGGAAGACACAAGAAGGAAGTTCGTTGTGTTGGGAAAGACGCGTAATTTTTGAACTCTCTTTTAAGGGCTAGAAGTAAGAAAACTTTTTGTCCCGTCAAAATATATAAGTCTTTCTCTCTTTTTTCACCGAAAAGATTAAAAGAAAGAGATAAGATAGAGAAATGAAAAAATTAGGAGGGGGCGTCAACTGAAAAAATAGTACGCAAGGCTGATATTAAGGGGAAGGGTTACAGGTGGGTCCTTGCACGCATGAATAAATAGTACTAGTAATCCATTGTAGTAGTAGCAGCAGCAGTAGTAGAGAATTGAGTTACTTTCCGACAAGACGGCAGCACCCTGTTTTTTTTTTTTTTCCCTTCTATCTGTAACACTAGCACTGTTGGTTTCATTGGGTTGATATCTCTTTCCCTTCTTGTCTCCTAATTCGATGAAGCTAACAACATTTGTATTTTGTTGTTTTATGATCTGCCTGATCAATTCCACAACATTTGCGCATGGAATGATCAAACCACTTGCCAATTAACTAGCTAGTTTTTTAATGCACTCTTGTTTCGCCTGTTTTTCCGTTCCCTAATTTGCCTAAAATTTGATTGTGAGAAGGGAAAATAGAGGGCTCCCTTGAAGATGTCACACCGTGAAGTAAGAGGCTAGCATCATTTTTTTTTTTTAATTTGTATGCCTTGCTATGAAAGTTTGGTATTGTGGTGGGTTCTCCCTAATGCTGACTAACTGAATGGACAGAGAAATTAGTGGTGGGTTCTAAAAGATGATATTATTGCACTGAGATAACTTGTTTGAATCGAAGTCTTAGGTTTATAGGAATTGCATTCGCCTTTTTAGTTTAATTCGGAGGAATCTAAAACCTTGAGAAGGAAGAAAAGTAGAAAACAATGCATATTTGACTGACTCCACTTTGAAACCTTGGGAAAGAATTTAAAAAAAAAAAAACAAAGATAATGTTTCCGGGCTGGACCAGCTTGTTTCATAAGAACCACAGGATTTTATTCTAGATAGGAAATGAGGAACAAGCTATAAATGTTAATTAAATTTCACAAATCATTAATTCATAAATATACACATTAGTTAATTAGTAGTGAAAATTTTAATGAGACAGAGCTTTATCCATGGAAAAAGAAGTGGTCAAGAAGTTCGGCATGCTAGACCTCTGCTGTTGGCTGTGTAGTTTCTTATTCGATCGTCTAAGTTAACCGTGAAGTAGCATAATTCATGAAACTTTTTACTTGTGTCTCTATGGTACAAGTAACTTTTGAGGTCCTAACGGAATATATAAATGCATTAAAAAGGAAAAATTATCCGGACAAGCAAAGTTTGATCTTAGCCGTCAATTAAATCAACTCTCTGATAATTGAATCAGCTAAGCAGAGTGCTTTCACCAAGAGTTTTTAGATGTTTATGGTCCTTCACCTTCAATGCCTAAATTTCGAGGGAAAGAGACAGAAAAGGTAAGGACATTTTGAGAGTAGATCGAGTTTCAACCAAACCTACATCTAAATAATAGGTAGCTGCCCTATAAGGAAAGCAGATGAAAGAAATTAAGATATTCTACATGGGTTAAGCAACAGATCAATGAAGGGGAATGGTCATGGATCTATAATGCTTTATCGTGCTACTATATCAAGGTCATTAATCTGTTAAAAAATAATATCTAATGTGAACGAAAAAAAAGTTTCAATAATTTGATTTTTAGGCCTTGGCCCACCAATACAGCGATTGATGTTGATAACGAAGCTAAGTTTTGGGATTCATTGATTTGAGATCATTAAATAATGGGACATCTCTCAAATACAGAAAATGAAAAATAGTTGCACGAATTAATTTATCCTGTGATGACAATTAAGATGACAATGAGATGAAATCATTTCTCATTTGGCTGTGAAATTGAAATGGATAGCCCTATCTCATTCTTCTTGAAAGCAATTGACGATGGGATTAGTCATTTTGAATGAGAAGTTTGCGTTCCATAATGAATGTTGATTGTACCATAGTTGGCTAATTAAACATCAATTAAATTTGGCAAGTTACCTTATTGGGGTGAGCCTGTTCATTTGTTTGATTTTAATTTTGAGCAAAGTCAATTAGTAACAATCTGCTGATTAAGGTTTTCGTAGTTGCATTAACTGGGCTCCCGTCATGTTAGGTTAGTGCTATAATATGATGTATCCACTAATATTCGTTTTTCTTGACTCTTTAAATTAAAGGATAAATTACAAAACCCCTTTATCTATTATAAAATTATATGGATCATATAAAAGTTTAAATATTTGACAGGAACTTTTTCTATGTTTAAGTAAATAGTATCAAAATTCCTTTTATACTCAAAAAAATGCCCTTAATATTTTCAAAATCATCCCTTTTAACAATAATAAAAAAAAAAATTAAAAGCACTAGAAGCATTTTGGATACAAACGGAAAATTTACAAATTTTATATGTTCGGTGTAATTTCATGATAACTTATAAGGATTTGTAATTTATGCTGAATTAAATGAAGAACTACATTTTATTAGGTAATCTTTTCAGTTACATTGATGAGGTTCCCCTCAAGATTTTTTTTTATTTTATTTCTTAAATCGTTTGAAACTTTTAATGCGAGAGTATTGTCACTTAAAACATTTTATTTTTATATTTAAAAAGAAAATATAACTTTTTTAATCCCAAAACTTTTTATTTTTATGAATGTAGAATTAAAATTTTTGTTTATTACAAATGTTCAAAAAAATTTAAATTGTATTAATCTTATAATTCAATGTAATTTAGTTCAATTGGATTGGGTTGACAAAATTTTACAAACACAAGATAAATTTTGACCAAATTTTTTTTTGGCAATTACTTATTTATCGAATTGATACAAACATATGGACGATTTTGGAGGGTTTTTCCAACCATTTTGTTTTACTTTTTCTAAAAAATTCTACTAATTGGGATAGAGTTTTCAGGAATTTGTACAGAATAATGTAGTTATCAAATAAAAAATTCAATCTGGAGCTCCAAGAGTCGGATGTTTAATTGTAATGGGAGAATGGTAGAAAGAAGGCTTTTTTTTTCTTTTTTCTTTTTTTAAAGATGGCACCGAAAGGAGGGTATTATATATCATGTATTTTCTGGTTCGATACTCTACTATAGAATAAGAAAAGAAGAAAGAAAGTTCCGACCTATAACTTAGAATTTTAAAAGGTTTATATTCTTTTATCTAGATGAAACAACCATATTAAGAAAGATGTAATAGCATCACTTCTTTCAGGGAATATAGATCGATATCTATCCATATTGATTGTATACATACAGGACTATATTATTTAATTGCATTTATACTATGTTAATTAGTTTATTGTCAAATCCCCAATAGGACTTTCGGATTATTACAGAGCAAACTATCTTTCCTGCAACTTTCACATGATACGTAACATGATTTGACTCTTTGTTATATATTTAGTAAATACCTCACATGCACGACTTGTGTATTTCCTGTAAAATTGAAGTTAATAATCATATAATTTATTTATTTATTAGAAAAGTAACAATATTTTTTTCTTAAAATATTATTAATTCATCGAGCATTTGCAACAAATCCTTAATTTTGTTAATTTTCGTAACCACGTTATTCAGTAAAATGATCAAGTTTCCAATAACTTAATTAGAAATATAATAGTAAATATAATTAAATACACATGTACCTACGAGCATGTTAATTAAAACAACTCCTAAAATTTTGTTAGGGAGAGAAAATTAAGAGTTTTTGACACACATATATATATTCCAGGCTTTAAAGTTTAGATTAATTTATCATTATTCGATCGGACACATCTATTTAAGGAGTTTTATGTATATATAAGGAGTTGAAACCAAAACTATTTACTTAAACAATTAGAGGTTTTTTTTTTTCAAACCAATAATTTAGATAAACTATTTACTTAAACAATTAGAGTTTTTTTTATTCAAACCAATCATTTAGATAACGTTTTTTAAATATTGTCAGACAACTAAAAAAAATAAGATAGAAAAAATCTAGCTTAAGCCATAAATAGATCTTATGTTACTTTTAATATAATTAACCAAATAAATGGTTTTATTCGGGTGTGATGCAGAAATCATATAATTGGCCATATCTTACTGTTCAAAGAATTAAAAGCCAAACTATTTTAAGAGAGTGGACAGAGAGTAGCTAGGAGTGGGGACGATTCGAATCTCTTTTATGAATAAGCTAACTTGATCTTTAAGCAATCCCCATCACTTTCACCGAACTTCATGAAAGATCTCTTTAATTACTAATTAGCAGTATATAGTTAAGTTAATAGCTTTCATTTTACACGATAGCAAAAATGCTTCACCAATCACCCCAGCTGATCAATCATGCATCTAAAGCAGTGGAATTTTCATACTCACGCCCCCCCTCCCAAAAAATAAAATAAAATAAAGTAGGGCCTGTTAGTGAGTTACAACTTGAAAGATCTTATTCGAATATTTTTGGATGATGTGGTCATTATATTCACGTGAATAATTGTGAAAAGGCCAACATGGTCACTTCATGGAATCTTCTAAATTTGAACAAATTAGCTGGGAGTGGGGGTAATCAGATCAAATGGTAGCAATCAAGAAATGAGGCTTTAAGAATCCACTTGTGGACTGTGGGAGCCCAAGCTGGGGCTAACTAACTATACCCCGCCATATCATAGGTTTTAGGGCTGTCGACTGGCTCGGACACACACGCGCATATAATATATAGCTAGTTTGATCGGTGCAATAAATTTGCATAGCCCATTCTTTACATACAGATCGTATTGAACGTATTATCTTAGC